CATCATTCGTCGTAGACCGCCACCGCCGATCTTAGCAGTTTTATTTTATATTAAAATATTTTTTTTTGAAACCAAAAAAGAAAATAAAAAGTCCTACATTTACTTTACAAATAACCAAACTCTATAGTATTTCAAATAGAATTGATTATTTTAACATAGTATCTCTTTTAAACTACATTCCTTCTTCAACAAACCAAACACCCTTTAGAGGCTATTTGGTTGAGTGGATTTGTGGTGTAATGTAATTCTTTTGTAGGGATTTGAGAAAAATGTGTTTGCTATGAAGAATTACAAATACAATGTAAAATATGAATGAATTTGAAGTTTATACCGTAGTTCGTTTTGGTTGAATTCAGAATTCGGTCAATATGGCTAAATTTGAATTACATAATTCATGTAAAATGTTATTAGCAAGTCAACCCCCCCCCAAACCCAGCCGTCGCCGCCCGTCGTTCTCGGTCAACCGCCGTCGTCGTCGCTAGTCATTCGCAGTAGTCGATCGTCCACGGTCGCTACCACCAATTGTCTATCACTGTCATCGTCGCCTAGCATAGTAAATTCTAACATATTAAAATCATTTTTATATAATATGCCCAAGTATTTTTAGATCTACCTCCATCTTTCTTAACGAAAGTGGAATCTGAAATATCTATAATCCTAACAGGGTCATTTGCTAGTCGATGTTTAATGTGACCAAACCATTTAAGAAAACTCTCTCTAGTCTTATCCAACACTTGAGCTACACCAACCCTATCATCGATATATTCATTTTGATTTTTGTCTCTAAGTGTCAAGCGACTCATCCACCTAAGCATTCTCATCTCTGCAACACTTAGATTTGTTTTAAGCTTCTCTTTTGAAGGCCAATATTCTGCACCATAGATTGCAGGTCTCACCACAATCTTATAAAATTTTTCTTTCAGTCTAAGCGCTACTTTTCTATCACACAATAGTCCCAATGCATTATGCCACTTCAACCAAACAACTTGACTTCTACTAATGGCATGTTTGTCTATGTCACCATCACTTTGAACAATAGACCAAAGATATCTAAAAGACCACTTTTAATGATTTGATCACCCATAGTTACAACTTTGTCATTAGAGCTAATACTACCAAAATTACATTCCATGTATTCAGTTTTAGATCTACACACCTGAAGGCCTTTAGATCCAATGTAGACCTCCATAATTCAAGTTTTTCCGAAACTTTGTATTTAGTCTTATCGACAAGAAGGATATAATCAGCGAAAAACATACACCAAGGTACATCCTCCTGTAAATGTCTAGTAAGAACATCCATCACTAAAGCAAAAAAAATATGGGTCTAAAGTTGATTCCTAATATAATCCAACTGAAAAAGAAAAATACCTGGATAATCCTCCTGTTTGAACATAACTAACAACCCTAAAATATATTTTAAAATACATTGGTTTCAATCTGCTTTAGATCAAACAAAAATATATAATCCAACATCTATTTTACAGTGACCCAAATAACTCAAAAGTACTTAAAATACATTGTAATGATAATACTCTGCAAACTTTTTACATTACATTTCATTTTCAACAAATCAAGCAGCGCCTTTCTGAATTCAAAACTCGACCAATTTGACCAAGTTCAAAATACAAAGAAAAAGATATTATCATTGCCACCTACTATCACTGAAACACATTATTTTCAATCTACTTCAGAACAAACAAAAAAATGTAGTCATACATCAATTTTACAGTAAACCAAACAACTCAAAAGTATTTCAATACATTATAATCATAGAACTCTGCAAACCTTTTACATTGCATTTCATTTTCAGCAAATCAAACAGCCCCTTAGTGAATTCAAAACTCGACCGATTTGATCAACTTCAAAAAACATTGCAAAAAATATTATCACTGTCACCCACCATCACTCATTGTCGCTATAAGTCACCGTCCCACCAGCCTCAACAACTGGTTGTTAACTGCCCACCGCCACGCCAGCCAACTAGCAACGCCATCCAATATACCACCAACGCCAACTACCACTAGCTATAAGAGGATGGCATCAACTGCCAACCCGCACCAACATTTGGTAGGCATCAATGGCCAATTAGAGTAAACTGCCAACTAGCATCCACGATTATCAAACCTTAAATGGAATTTAATTTAATTCAAACCAGATATAAAAAAATAATATTTTATACATTAATTTTACACCCAATTAAAAAATTATAAGATATTTTAAATGCACTACATTTGAAATAAAATATTTTTTTTACTCTAAATTTTTTTCGATTAACCAAATTGCCCCTTAGAAATTTACAAGTAGCTTGGGATCATTGTTAAATATTTTCTAGTTTATTTTTATTTTATTTTATCTTATATATGGTTTGATTTAAAACAAAATATGTTTAGTATGTTAAAATAAAACAAATTTTATTTTGTCAATGGCCAGCAATAAGCGAATATTGTCGACCGGAGCCAGTAGGCAATGACTAGCAACATTAGCAATAGTGGCAATAAGCGATAGGGGCAACAAACTACAAATGGAGAGTAGCCCGATGAAAGAAAAAGTGACAACAAGCAGCGGGCAATGGAAGCTAGCGATGGTCAATGGGCAATGAACAATGGGTAATAGCGAGTAGCAACTAGAATTGGTGATAACTGTTTTTAGGAAAATACTCAAAACATTTAGAAATTATTTTAAGTATTTTAAAAAAAATTTGATTTTCTTTAAAAACAAAAATTAAAATAATAAAAATATACACTAAACTAATATATCTTCTAAAACAAAATAAAAAATAAAAATAAAACCAAAAAAGCAATAAAATCCTCAATGACCCCTTACACTACTTTCTTATGTTGAATTGAGAGTGGGAGAGCTTATTGTTATGATCTTTTGTTGACTTTTCATGATCATACTTTGGTATCTTTGATGTTAATATGTTACTTATCATTTCAAACTTTGTATTAATTTATTAATTTAATTCTAACGCTTGTGTGCCAAAATGCTTAAAAGATTATGTCTCTCATCAAAAATAAAATCATCTCAAGCATCCTTTCAAGGTACTCCAATTTAATTTCAAGCATCCAATAGTTGTAGTCACAGATGATACAAAATCTCGATTGGATAGTGGATCACAATCTTGGCTTGCTTAGCTATTACCAATCCCATGGTTAGAACATGCCACTCTCATCTAATACCCAACAATGGTATTTGAATGGTTCAAGAGTCATAGATATAAAAGTGATTGAATCTCGGATAAGCATGAAAGTGATTTCCTTCCTTCTTCTCTTCTTTTAACTACTATAATTCCGCCCCAATAAATAGCAGTTTGTTTTCCTTATAGTAATTAATTGTTTTGGGATAATTATTGATAATGGATACCCTCCAAAGTAAAGCCTAGTTTCCCATGGTTGCTTCCGAGCCTTCATTCTTTGCTAAAAATCATAGAGAAAAACAGTTTGAAGGGGAACAGCCTATTGTGGTTTGGCTATAGATTCGTCGACCAAAAAAGAGAGAGAAACAAATTGAAGATTGCGAGGAGAGACAAAAAGAGAGACTTGAAAGTTTGAACTAGAAAATCTATGATCTAATTTTTCATTAAGCAAAACACATCCAATTATAATATAGAAATAGAATCAAAATCCAAACTAAATATAAGAATCAAAGAGGGAATATCTTTTAAAATTTCAAAGTTAAAACAAACTTCACTAAATTAAGGAGATATTATCTCTTTATAAACAATAAGTCTAATTGACTCTTATAAACTATAGCAAACTACCTCCTAAATAAAATAATTTACAAAGTCCTTAGTATAAAATCTAAGAATGGATAAGAGCATAAATTTTAAATAAAACCTATTGTAAAAGAGGATGAGCATACTAGCAGAACAACGCTTGGGCCCAGCCAACAAATCACAAAGGGACTGAATTTTCATTATTGGGTTAGTTACTACTAGGCTACTTCAATTCAACCACCAATCATGAGGCTGAAAGGTTCAAATCCTAATGGACCAGGAATTGTAAAAGAGAAAAGTTATTCAAATAAAATTGATAGTTCAAAATTATTATATCACCCAACATCTGGTGTGTTGAATCAAATAGAATATTCCAAGCATTTTGTGAGAGGCACGTTAAAATGACTTCCTCAAGATAACCCTAATCTACATTTCTCTACAATAGCCTAGCTAGGTACAGCATCAACTTCTTCATTACTTCCATTTCAACTCCTAAAACATGGATTAGTCCGCAGATAATGTATTTACCTTATCCCTGAAAGTTGCTAAGACCTGAAGAATGATTTCAATGAGATAAGATTTGGAACCCTAAAAACAACCTTCAGTTAGGATTAAAAAATAATAAAGGTAATCTTTAAAGATAAGTTATGCCTCCTAAGTTACCATTTCGGAGTATAGATTACACAAAAGTCAACTTTTGAGATAGTCTCCAAAGAATTTTCATCTCTTTGATGTTTTTTTTTCCTTTTTTTATTCTTTTTTTTTTTCAGATGTGAGCACTAAAACCAAAAATTATTTATTTTTTTTAAAAAGTAGGTTAGCGCATTCGACTGCGGTCTATCGGCTAAGGACAAAAGCTCTCTACCACTCGGTCACACTTCTATTCGCTCTGCAAAGTAGTAACACTAAACAGCCAATATGCATATCTGCAAGAAAACGCAGTCCATTGACAGCTGAATCCACAGCAAGAATGTCACTCACCATGCAGCCCTGCTCCTTCTAACATGCTGAGAAGCAGAAGAGTACGTAGCCTCCTCTTAAATCGATGAGGAATAAAATCAGATCTCGCAACCAGTAACCACCTTCATACACTATGCACATGCAAGTAAAACTCAAATCTACTCAGAAACAGGAAGCTGATGGCGATGCTAACAAAGAAAAAAGGTGAATGATTCACCGTTTTCCGACATAACAAAAGACAAAGCAAACATCTAATTTCAGAAATCCATCATTTGTCCAAAACAATAGCTTTAAAAAAGCGGGCAGCAAGGTTAGTGAATAACCGGAGCGCAACAGATCAGAAGCACCTGCGGAAGAATTGACGGCTGCCGAGCCCGGAACTTGCTGCCCCGTCTTCTTCCCCGACGAGCGTCGCATCATCTCTTCTCGCCCCGACAGGCGCAGCTCCTCACTCTGAGAGAAAATCCTAGAATCCGGAGGTAAGCAGAGAAGATATTTGGTTTGTGGATCCGGCTCTCGTCGAGCAATGAGCTTACTCCGGGGAATGGGGGAAGGTCATGGGTTTTAATGGGCTATAACAAAAGAGAGGGAAAGGGAAGAAAAAAATAAATGATAGAGAACAAGTTAGTGGTATTTTTTTTTAATTGCTTTTTTGGGTCATTTACATGCATCCCACACAATTCTTATTTATTTACATATCTAAGAGCTAAATTATACTTTTTATATTTATACCTCCTAAATTTTATATCACATATAAATTACCACCATTTTATCTTAAAAAAAATGAAATACATCATTTTATTCATTGGCAAGGCGATGTGTATGTATGTAAAATTAAAGTTAAGCGTTAGATACGTAAAGACATGAGAATTGAGTTGGCATATGTAAATCTTTCTTCTATTTATTGCTTATAAGGAATTGATTGTATTATTTATATGCTAATTTTACTCTGAGGTTAAATGCTTGAAGATTTATAGCCTTTGAATTTTGACTATTTTATTCATGGGCAATTTTTTATGGGATCATGAATGAATTAGTGAAATTGCACATTAATATTTTGTTTAATTGCACATTCCCTTCAAAAGTTAGGAGTGCCCAACTTTGATTGAGTGGATATTGAGGAGCTTGTTCAATTGCAAAATTAATATTTATAACTATTAAACATACATTTCTATTGTATTTGGTCTTATAAAAGACACATTTAATTTTCTTTAATTTTGTATGCATATCTTTTTATAATTGTATGATAATGATTATTTTCTTATTTGAAATATAGTGAAGATTATGATTTACTCTATATGATCTTAAAAATCATTTTGGAAAGTAACATGAATAATATAAGAAAAAGTAGACTTTATATGCCTTTTAGTATCTAAAATTTAGTGAATTTTCCAATATATTATTTTCTTACAAAAATATGTGCTGAAATTTCGTTTGAGCCAAATAACCCTCATTTCTCTTACATAATAGTAAAAAAAATTTTTGAATTATTACGAAATCATTCAATCATAGAGGCATCTTTAACTATTCTCTTCCAAGCATCTTTTTCATATCTAGCAATCACAGAGCATATATGTATGAGCTATGTTAAAGTTTCATAATAAGGATCTCTCCATTCATCTTCATTTCAAGGTTTTTGTTAGCATTGTTTTATCATTTAGACTTGAATATATTATTTAAACTTTAAATCATAAACTTGGAACATCTTTAGACATCATAATACATGATGCAAATTATTAAAAATAATCAGTAAATTACTTTCAAATAATCATTAAATCACGATTAGATAATGAATGTACCATGATCAAACGATCTTTGAACTATTTTTAAAATTATATTGAACAATGACTAAATTGTCATTGAATAATGATGAAACTATCTTTGAACTATGACTAAACTATAATAAAAGCATCTTTATATCATGATCATACTATCATTAAACTATCATTGGTCCATCTTCAAAGCATTATAGAATCATCTTTTAACCATAACTCAAAAATAGTTCAAAAATAGTTCATAGACAGCTCAATCATAGCTCAACCAACTTTTAAAAATGATTTGATCATGATTTAATGATGATTCAATCACGGTTGGTTGAATGATGATTCAAATATAATTAAAACATAATTTATAAAGGTTTGATTATGATTTAAAATTAGTTCATTTTTTTTATCGCATCATTTTCTATTTTGAAATTGGCATATTTAAATTATTTTGCTATATATAAAGATATATGATCTAAGCATGCTTATAATGCAGCATTATATTATTTAGATCACATATACAACTGGGGTCTAATAGAGAAAGTGGATAAAAAATTTAGAATGCAAACCTTCTTTTCAAGCTTTATATAATCTTCATTATTCATTTCATTAAATACCCTAAATTATAACTTTTCTTGTCCCGCTTTTATCAATTATTATTAGGATGGTAAATGAACTGAGAGTTTGACAAGCTACTTGTAATTCAACTCGATAAGAGCTCATCCACGTTTGTTTCATTAACTAATCGAATAAATTTGTATAGTTTTATAAATGCTCGATTGTTAAAGAAACAAACTTGAATACTTCCTTGTTTGACTCATTTATATTCGCGGACAATATCATTTAAAGCTCACAAATAAACTCATTAAAGAGTTAAATAAACAGTTTCATTTAAAGTTCATAATTAAGATCGATTTAATGCTTTTTAAACATATGAATAAGCTCAATTAAAATTTGATTTAAAATTTATTTATATTAAATTAAATTAAGATTTAATTTGTAGTACATGGCTCAATTAAAATTTGATTTAAAATTTATTTATATTATATTAAATTAAGATTTAATTTGTAGCACATGGAACAAGATAAAACGGAACAAGATAAAAACTTATTTGTTTAGTTGTTCATTTAATTTATGTTTCTTTATGCTTATTTGAGTTATTTATTTAACTGTTCATTCTTTTAAAAGCTCATTTATTTTTGTATGTTCAACAAGTAGCTCATTTATAAACTCGATAAAGTTTGTTTGATTAGAAAAACTGTTCATTCTTTTAAAAGCTCATTTATTTTTGTAAGTAAGTTCAACAAGTAGCTCATTTATAAACTCGATAAAGCTTGTTTGATTAGAAATTAAATAGCTCAATCGTGCTATTCATTTTTTTTTATTTGATAAGTCTTATTTAGTTAGAAAATAAATAACATGATAGTATTAGTTTCAAATTTACTGGATAAAGGTTATTTGAATAGAAATTAAGCATAATGATAATTTACTCGTTAATCCGCTTGATAGTGACTCAATTATCATCATATGAAGCTAACAAGAACTAAACTCAAAAATAAACTAAGCGTGATCATAATACAAAGCTCGATTCTAGCTCGAGCTCAAATTTCTTAAACAAGTTCAAGCTTGAAAACAACCTCAAAAGCTAGATTTGAGCCCGTGCTCGACTCAAGCTCAAATTTTATGAACAAGCTCAAGTTTAAACATAGCCCTGCTTGACTCAGATCATTTCATTTGTAGCTTTATATATGATTGATGATTTTTAATAATGATGATAATAATTGCTACCTGGTTTTCATTAATACATTAGAGACGAGAACAAAAAAATTGCCATTATTATTGAATGTACTTTGATCGATGGTCTGAGTTTGAAGAACACCCGAATAAAAAAAGAGAATGGACATGAGAAGGAATATATTATTTTAGAAGACGCTTAATGTTAGGGCTGTTTGACTCAGCTTATTTGTTGTGGTGCATTTTGAAAATACGGGCGGAGCCGTTTGGTTTCGGCGGCGCAGCAGCTTATGAGGTTAATTTGATATATTAGTGGGCAGAGAAAAATAATAAGAGGCACTTAATTGAGTATTTCACAAATCTATTAGGAAAGAGGCACAAGTTATGGATCCATGTGCTAACTTCCGACAATGTGATGAATATTAACTATTTACCTTTGAATCAAGATGTTAGGATTGTCGACAAATTAGCATATATTATTAATTAAATAAAAAAAAAATCTTTGGATAACATATGAGGTCTGATTGTTTGTAAAGGCCTTGATGATATATGACTTGGACCTCTCATACAATCCAACATAGATCTTAAAAGCACAAGTGAGCTTAATTAACAAGTACTTTCTTATAGTATTTAAAATGTTAGGGTTATTTTAGAATAAAAATTTTCTCATCCAAATCTCTGTTATGGTGGAGGAGGGCTTGTAAAAATAAAATTATTTGATCTTTTGTAACATAAACAATCAAAAACATTATTAAAAGGTTTAAGAATTACTTGTGGTCCAACATGTGCTTTATGTCTTATTTGAATGCCAATTTTATGCAGTACAACACATCTGCATAACTTTAAAATAAATTGGAAGTTACACTTGTTGCATGTTAAGGAATTCATGGCAACAGAGTAATGAATTATCATCTTAGTGTTGTACGAGAATCCAACACAGACTTAGAGAATAAAAATGATAGGTAGAGGCACCATAAGATTTTTATGTTGAAACCTCTGGGAAAAAAATATGGGGCCTAGCATAGTAAGAAATAATCCACTATAGCTTGATGAGTATATGCAAAATCTCTTGTGCCATAGACGGAAAAGGGTCACACAATTACAATGTTTGTATGTCAGAAGACCTATTGCACAATGTTCAGAAACGATTGTAGTTGTTAGAATTTTGGGACACCCTCTTCAAAATGTTCTATTGCGTGGTGTTCATGACAAGACATTGTTCCATGGACTGCTCTGCTACTCCATGAAGTTGGATACAACTCTGCACATTGCTTCTTTACTTTGCAATGTTGGTCACTACTATGCATATCGCTTCATTACTCAACATGAAGTTTCTATGCATGTTGATATTAAATTAAAATATTTTTTCTATTAATTATATAATTAAGTGAATTCTGAATAAAATAAAATAAAATAAGCAAACTTGAAATATAATATAATAGAACAAGAATACCTTCTCAGTTCTTCATGAAGCTGCATATTCTCCATTGCAAATCTAGTCACTTCTGAGTTACGATCAGCCTGATTGCGGAAGACTTCTAACTCTTTTAGAAGTGCTTCTCTTTCTTGCAAAATGTGTATATCCGGCGACAGCTTTGAAGAAGCAAGTGCATTTATTGCATCTTCCCGAAAGCGAAGTCTTAATTTTAAGTTTCTGACTTGTTCTGTTCTTTGAATAATCTAGCATGTAACATAAAAGCGTATGTCATGAACACATGGCTGCCATAATGGTATCAATCAAATAACATGATGATATATATGACAGAATAAGAATTTAAGAAAAGGAATGGCGAAATTAAAAATTAAGGAGTTCGAATATTTAAGTTTAAGCTTTGATTTCCTTAAAAAAAATTAAAAACTATTGTAAATATTATTATTAATTTAATATTAAATTAGTTAAATATAGGGGGCAAAATTTTGAGTGTATTATATGATATTAAAGAGTTTAGTAAAAATCTAAGGATTCTAAGTGCCTCTCTTGACCTCTCGGTGGTTCTACCACAACGAATATTAAAACAGCGTAGTTCAAGTAGTTCGTCAAGTGCATTGGTTCATTTATAGCCCTATTAAAAAGCAAGTATAGTCATATTTTA